AGCAGGTCAGTTAGCCCATTGTGACGAATTCAACAAGAATTGTTCACGATGGTTTCCAGGGGGAACCACGTGGAGACTTGATAGAGTGTATTGCTAGCAATGGGTTCATTAGACTCCATTACTAACAATCCCTTTTCCCCCACTCGGTTTTCATGTTAATCCTTAGGAGAAGGAGGGAATGGGACTGTTTGTAATGGAGACTGAGAATCCTACTGCTAGCAATATACCCAACCAGGTCGACCTCCTCGCGGTTCTCCCTGGAAACTATCATGGTTAATTCCTGATGAATGCATCATGATGGGCTAACTGGCCTGTTTTTATTCTCATCTATCACCCTTCACTGGTGCTCCGCCAGCGTATCTCGTTAGCGCAAGCGGGGGTTACCATACCATTTTCACCCAGCAAAAAAAAATCTTTAGGAGATTCATCAATATTATGGATCGTGCGAAGCCGGGTCGTGTTGCTAGTATATAATAATGCAAAATTTCCACAGTAAAACAGATGTACACATATCGTGTGGTCTGTGTACCTTACAACTGCAACATAATTATAATTTACAACGCTCCCAACATCACAAACGCGCCGCCTTCGGGAAAGTGTCGTGTCGGCAACCCTTACGCAAAAACATCCTGATTTATGGTACTGAAAACAGATAATTTTGCATCGGAACATTCAAATATAGTTCAATATTCTACTCTATCACCAAACAGTAAGGTTTAAAGTATTATTTGATGGTGGAAATGAACACTATACGACCGTATTTGACTTTATTTATCCATTATTACGGTTTTTGTTGTCGCTCCCACAGTTTATGTTTAACAGATTCCAAAAATCGGTACTGGTGCGTGGCGAATGGTACATCTCAATTTGGCTGCATTGTCTCCTTTGAATGCCACCCTGTGTGTTTATGGAATTAAATAAATCACCCTGTATCCGCGACGAGTGACGCGCCCTTTTCTGTCACCCCTAAACATGAGTACAGCTAATGTTTGTTATGTAGTTGGAAGTTGTACATCGCTGGTTTATTTCGGTTTTTTTGCTTTATGAGTTTTTATTGGAACAGTGATGTATTGTGAAATATTATGTTTAACGGTACATAGAGGTTTTTGGGACGGAAGTGGGATAATGGTATAGCAATTTCCCATAATCAATAAAATGTTGACAATACGTACGCTGATGTAATTTGATTTCTGTGTCTGTATAGTTAAATAAATAAATTTATGTACTATGTCACTGAAACTTTAAGCTACAATCTATATATATATATATATATATATATATATATATATATATATATATATATATATATTAATGTGTGATAACGAAACGGAAACCCCGTCCGCGCTATCGGTATACACCGGCGGGGCACCAGCGAAGGATGATAGGTGAGTATGAAGCAGGTCAGTTAGCCCATCGTGACGAATTCAACAAGAATTGTTCACGATGGTTTCCACGTGGGGGTCGACCTGCTAGAGTACATCGCTGGCAATGGGGCTGTTAGACCCCATTACTAATAATTAGTGATTAAACGAACTTACCCAAGTGAAGTTCTATCACAATTATACGAAGCGCTTCGTCCTCGAGATTATTATTTGTAGAATATAAACAACATGTAGTAACGCACAAGTGACACCGCCCCTGCACTATTGTTGAGAGAGGGATTCCCCCTTTTTCCTTTTTCTTTTTATTCCTCGGTAGGTACATAGTCTACTTAGCCCGTTCATTTCATTTCCTGTTCATTAAGTTCAGAGTTAAAAATTATTTAAAACTTATGTTTGACCATTGAAATATTTTTTGGTACAGTTCTGATGGGTATAATTAAACTGGGTCGGGAGGGAGTACGTACTAATCTCTTCGGACGAAGCGCTTCGTATAATTGTGATAGAACTTCACTTGGGTAAGTTCGTTTAATCACTAATTATACTTCGCGCTTCGTCCTCGAGATTATTATTTGTAGAATATAAACAACATGTAGACTTTGAGAGTTCCAACCAAAAAATATTATCAATGAAAACACTTCTTTTATGATTGTATGTTTTATTGGATTACAAAGTGAACAAATAGAACTAAAAATTAATCGACATTATGTTATTCTACTATTAATCTATAATAGTACATAATCTTTTTTAATCATCACACAATTCGATAAACATAATATTATTTTTGATTATTATTAATGATCGGCTTAGCAAAGGACGAATTATCTGTATTAATCATAGGCCTACTGTAAAATTTGGCGAAAGCAGTGGAGTTGGCATTCCAGCCGCAGCAGCTCCATTTAAGTATTGTATCTACACTGACACCTAGAGAGCGTGCCCGGGACGCGGCGGCATGTCGCGTGCTGTGCGCAGAGAGTACAAATATGTACGTCCAGTCCACATTCGTCTAATATCAGTTTCACCCATCGGCTAATAGTTTGTCTACCGCTTTGTGAGGTCGACAGACACCACTAAAAAGATTATCAAAATTCCTTAGAAGAATTGTTCTATTTAAATGACAATCTGAAGTTTTTGCTGGACTGATAGCAGAGTTTTCTAAGAAGAAAGGAAGAACAATAATCGGTTGCTTAGAACCTCTTCGTGACGTTTTAAGGAAGTCAGGAATTTTAATTACTATATGGTCATTGAAAAATTCTATATTTTTTATATCAATTTTGGATAGAGTTTGTATTCTATGAGCTATCGTTATTGCTATTAAGGTAATGGTTCTCTTTGTTAATTTATCTAATGATAATTCTTCATTAGGCCACAATGTGCTTAAATGATCTAAAACAGCATTGGTATCTCATGTAGCGTTATACTTCGGAAGAGGAGGTCTCAATCGATATACTCCATTGAAAAATCTTTCTATACTATCATCTTTTGATAAAATAGGACCTAAAAGCAAGGATAACGCCGAACTTTATTGAATTTAATGTTCCATATTGATAACCGTCATGGAATATCTGAGTAAGAAAAAAAAAATTATGATAGGAATGGAAGCTTTATAAAAATAAACTGAATTGTTTTTACAAAAATTCCACCATTTTTTTAAACAAGTATCATATTGTCTAATTGAGCTATCAGAGAATGATGCTAACATTATATCTAAAGAGGCTGGTGGATAATAATGCTTTCCTGATAACACTCCTGTAACCAAGGTAAGCGTTGAGCCTACACGTTGATAACTGGAACTAAATAATAAAACATTATCCGCAGGATAAAAAGTTATTAATTCAGAGACAAGGAGGTTTCTGAATAGTGGGTACCACGGTTGTGTAGGCCATAGAGGAACAATAATTATACCGCAAGCTTTATCAGAAATGATCTTTCTAAGCGTCTTAAGAATCACTGCAAATGATGGAAAGGCATAAAAGTAAAACTTTTGCTCAATTGATTGTGAATGAATTAATAGCAATTACGTCCGGATCCCTATGCCATGTGACATAATTTCACATTTTTTGTTTATGCGATTTGTAATTCGATCAACCTCTGGTACATAGATTTTTTTTTTTTTTTTGTCAACTGGTTAAAGGCCCAATCAGCCAGTCCCCACTCTATATCTGGATGGATTTGCGTGATTGATCATGTATTATTGATGCATGATCTGTAGACTTAATATAGGAAGCGAATATAAAGAGCCTTCTGTTCTCACACCATTGCCAAATCTCTCTACTTATTTGAGTAAACTGAGGAAATTGAATGCCATCCATACGATTAATGTAAGATATTACCGTAGTATTGTCTATTTGTATTATTTGACAGTATTTGGCAATTATGTGAATCTCTGGCAAAAACTTTTAAGGCCAGAAAACGCAGCGAGAAGCTCCAGATAATTTATATGATGCTTTAGTTCATCATCTGACCATTGGTCGCTAGCAATACTATTACCATAATTAACCCTCCACCCCGTAGTTGAGGCGTCAGAGTAAATTTCAATGGCATACGTATCATCTCTGATACGATGATACACAGAGCTATCTATATTATTTAATCACCATTGAAAGTCAGAATATACGGAACTAGGTATATTCCTATACTTATCATAATCGTTATGATTTTTTAGATTAAGAAATTTTGAACGCTCCAAATCTTTAGTGCAAAATCATCCATACTCAATGGCTGGACAAGCCGACACGAGTAAAGCTACCAGTTGAGCAAATTCCCTGATTAAAATACGTTCATATTGACAAAAACTTTCTGATTGAGATCGAATTCGTAATCTATTTTCGAATGGTAAGCTTAATTGTAGACTGTGTGAGTCTACAACTATTCCCATAAATTTACAAGATAATGAAGGCTCAAGGTTACTTTTATCCTGATTAATTGTAAAACCTGAGGAAGATAGTAGTTTGGAAGTCATCTCAATATTTGTCAAGCATTGTTGATAAGAATTACCCAATAAAAACCAATTATCTAAGTATAAGGTAAATAAAAAATCGCCAGTTTTTAAAAAGTCTAGTAATCGGCTTCATTAATTTAATAAAAATGTAAGGTGCGGTAGCTAAACTAAATGGCAAAACATTAAATTGATATAATTTATTGTCAAAAATAAATCGGATATATTTTTAGATTCATTATGAATGTTTATTAAAAAATAAGCGTCTTTAAGGTCTAATGTTGCCATATAGCAATCTTTTGATATTAATTTTAATGCAGTTCGTAAATCTTCTAATTCTTCGTAAATAAATATTATTCGTATATGATCCGTCTGGATAAATTTATTTAATCTTTTGAGATTCAATACGAGCCTCATTTTGCCATTAAGTTCTTGTATTATATTAAAAATATTAGATATAACCTGCCCTTATAAGGTATACACTCTGAAACAGCGTCAATTTGTAGAAGATTATTAATTGCATCAATATATTGATATTTTTCTGAATCTGTATGATTCTTGATAAACAGGTGACGAAAAAATTATTTTGTAACCCTTAATCCCTGAAAGGATCAAGTGAACATTTGTGATAATAGACCATTGATCATAAAAGTGTGTTAAACGACCTGCATACTTATCTGGAATATACGTATCTAGTAACGACGTACGTAGTAACGACGACGTGGATGTTGTGTCGGAGGAGGTGGCGACGGCGGCTGCGGTGGTGGTGGACCCCACGACGTCGCTATGTGCCCAGCCGGCTGCGTTGGGAGAATCAAGGGTCGTGCTGCGCCAGGCTGACGGAATCTCGCTCCCATGCCCGGCTGCTTGCGTGCCGGTGCTGGAGCTCTCCGGTTTAAAGGCCTTGAAGGAAGAATGTCGGTTCTTCTTGGCAGGTTTTTGGTACCATCAGAAACCACCTTTAGGTCTATGTCTGATTTGTTAACAGCTTCGGTCGATTTTATTGTTTCAGCCAATTTATAGCCAAATAAGAAGGTATCAACTTTTGTGTTTGTAAGATATTCCTTCATATCCTTCTTTAAAGCACTTAGAATGAAGTGTCGTCTAGTCTTGGAGTCGCTATGCTGTATGTCACACATTAGACGGCTGAGATCCATCAGTTTTTGTAAAAGTTCTTTATCTTTTTGATTACAATTAAGCTATGTTGAAATAGCTTGACCTAAACAAGATATGGCTGAAGCCATTGGTTTCTTTTATCTCAATACCTTTATCACGCGTAGTAGCTAGTTCTGGAAGCTCTGCTTTTTATCTCGGGATTTATTGTGGGAGCACTACAAGTAAGCAGTTAGCTGGTATATTTATTTACTAATTATTTTTTAAGCTCTTTACTAATTCCTTCTTGGGCGATGTGTTGAAATCGCAATGGCAATTCTTTATGGACATCGCTACCATAATTATTAGTACACGTTGGATCGACTCCAAGAATTTCTAAAGTCTCAGTATCTAGCTACTGAGGCTCCACATTTGACGGGCCTGGACAGTTTTGACCAGCGTCTTGATCCGTAATCGGATTATTTTTTACTACAGACTCCCTACCGTCTGGATACGTTAACGCATCGTGAATCACATCTACATCGTCTGATGGAAGGTTTACAGTCTCTGGTTCTAGTATCTCTTCCTCAGGAGGATCTATTAACCAGTCTACTGATTCCGCTATTAATTGAGGCGTCTCTGACATATGCATCATATAATATATAAATATATGATGTGTATATGCATAAATTTATGCAATTGTATAAAAAAGTATAGTATGTGTCGAGTTCGTCCTGATAACGGCTCTGGGTACATACTAACATTGTTAACGTGGATACGTTAAAACCTAATATTTTTTGTCTCCAATAAGTATTATTGTTTATACAATACACCCCTATAATCAAATATTCTCTATAACTGAAATCAAAAGTAACGACTTCTCTTTTATATATATATTGCCAATAATTTATTTAAAAATATTTTATTAAAAATGAAATTCTATATTTATATTTATTATATCCTTTTATGGGTGTTATTTGAAAATGCGATAACGAAAGTTATCGAAACACGGCTGTTGTGTTCAATTCCCGCTGAATTGCACGTCAACCATTTCGTTTGAATGCGGTGATATAGCCCATATGACTATGTCGATTGCATTCTTCTGGAGACAAAAATTACTTTTGTGTATAGATATAGTTTTGAAAATAAATACCTGGTCTACAACGACACTATGTAATGTTGAATGTTGGGTCGTTGAGATCACTACTATTCCTTTTTGGGATCTTTTTTTTTTTTTTTTTTTTTTTTATTAACACGACAACGCGATGTATTATGTGCGGAGCGGTGAAGCACTAAATTGCGAATGAACAGGAAATGAAATGAACGGGCTAAGTAGACTATGTACCTACCGAGGAATAAAAAGAAAAAGGAAAAAGGGGGAATCCCTCTCTCAACAATAGTGCAGGGGCGGTGTCACTTGTGCGTTACTACATGTTGTTTATATTCTACAAATAATAATCTCGAGGACGAAGCGCGAAGTATAATTATCTGTTGAGAAGAATTTGCAAGAAACTCAACAGTTACTCTTTTAAATCTCTGTTAACATTATGTGTATTTATTTAAATGTACTATGTCTAAAATTACATGGTCGTTAAAAAGCCCGTGCATGATCGACTAGCACCATACACGTTTGTCATTCGTTGTATGACTAATAAAATAAAACTTGTATGTATGGGAATCTAAAATTCCATATATATGTTAATGCGTATTTTCATCATTCATTCATTGTTTCTACCGTGGACCAGTTGTGTTTGCATGGCTGTGTTTCGGTTTGAAGGGTGGGATATGACGTGAATTTACTGGGTACAGAGGAATGAGACCTGAGTCCTCAGGAATGGCAACGCATGGGGGGTATCATGGGTGAAACAGTATACTCTGTTATGTCCGTGGTACTGCTTATGTCTATAGGCGACGGTTACTACTTTCCATCAGGTGGACCGTCAGCTTGTTTGCCATTCTAAGTTGTATAAAAAAAAATCATTACAGTGATTGGTTAAAAAACATAATTTTACGCAGCAATAACTATAAAGATAAAAAGGTAAGATAAAGGTAACCATATTAAACTAATAAATTGGTTAAATATTGAAGAGGCTCACGGTTCCAAAGTGGTTTCAGTGCCGTCCAAGTGTTGACATTTGCCCCGGATGGCCGTTTATTCGCAAAATTAGTAAGCGGACCGTAAAATGAAAAAGCCGGTCAAGTGCGAGTCGCACTCGCGCAACAACGGTTCCGTACAAAATCAAGTTATTTTTTTTTAGTGTGACATAATTACAAATTTATGGGTTTCAGATTGTTTCCTATACTTGTGCTACATGATATTGCTTCTTGCCAAATTTCATGATTCTAAGTCAACGAGAAGTATTCCTATAGGTTTGGATTCCCTTTGCGAATGTCAAAATATGCGATATAAATGCAACATAAACGGCCGTATCTTTTGATCGCGTCGATTTAGAAGCTTGATTATTTTCACTGCTTTAAGAGATTGCACACTTGAGTATATGATATTAATTTCAACTTGATATCTTCACGCATTTCTAAGAAACAGGATCTTGACAGACGGACCGAAAACGAAGTAATCCTATAATGGTTCCGTTTTTCTTTTGAAGGTACGGAACCCCAAAAATAATATATTTAAAACAAACGAGTGCTACCATATTGAAACTACATTATAAATGGTAGCAGCGGAATTTTATTACTAATTTAATAGGTACCGTAATTACAGCGGCGGCGAACGTCGCGTTTCAATAAAAAAAAAACCGCTAAGCGATAGAAAAACTTGAAGATGGAAGTGAGGAAACATCACTCGCTCTCGAACGCTATCTTAATAGACACAATTACTGATATAACGCCATTGGGCCACTGTCCGTTTGTGTGGTACACGGCATAAGAGCCAGCGAGAGCGGGCGCGTGTGTCCATTTAAATCATGAGTATGAGATGAATAGAATAGAATAGAATAGAATAGAAAATCATTTATTCAAATAAACTTACATTGAAGCACTTTTGAAAAGTCATTACATTTTTTTAATCTACCGCTCGTTCGGAAAGCTGTCTCATCACAAGAAGAACGAGCAAGAAACTTGCGTGTTGCTCTTTTAAATAATTTTATTATTACTTTGATGGTGATGATGATGGAGTAAAGACGTTGATCAATTCCAAATCTTTTATAGATAGGTCAGTAATCCACTAGAACGAAATACCGTGGTTTTGCTCGCATTAAGTCTGATTATTTCTGATCTTCGACGCAAATTTTAGTTCACAGGCCAAATTTTAAAATATTCTCTATCATTTATGTCATAGAAGAAACGAAATAAATATTACATAATTATGTATAAAGAGGTTTATTATTTAATAAAATAGAAAAAAAAAATGATAGAAAAATGGTATAGAAAAATTGTATCGTCGATCACAATGCATTTGTAAAATTTAGTAGAAATAATGCAACATAAACAAGCTGACGGCCCACCTGATGTAAAGTGTTAACCGTCGCCTATAGACATGAGCAGTACCATGGACATAACAGAGTATACTGTTTCGCCCATGATACCCCCCATGCGCCGTCATTCCTGAGGATTCAGGTGTTATTCCTCTGTAACCAGTAAATTCACGCCATATCCCACCCTTCAAACCGAAACGCAGCTATGCGAACACAACTGCTTCACGGTTGAAACACGAATTTTCAGGTATGTACCCATAGTTTACAGTCATTGCGACGATAATTTAATTATAATTGATTACAAATATGGCCTTAATTTTATTTATTATAACTACAACAAAAAGCGTTATGGTTTCATAATAATAACTTATTTGGAGGCATGTTTACAAGATTACCCATTAATAGAATTAAATAACTTCATTCTACCCAAGAAAAAATATCAATAGTATTCTTAGATCCCCTCAACCACCATGGATTAAAGAAGAAGAAAAAGTATACGTAGATCAACATGTGAATCCTGATTGCAAATTCAAATGAATTGAGACCTCAATTTAATATTTAAAATACTTATCGCTAACCGCTTATAACTTGAGACGCACAATAAAGTTATCGCGGCATTTCTATTTGAAAACAAACGTGTATCGATTTGCATGAATCACGTATTAACAGTTCGTTAACAAACTGTATCGTAAATATTTTGCTGTTGGGAAACTTCCGACGCCGGCCGCTTGTACCTTGGGCGGATGTTCTCCATTTGACATATATGTATTAAATTTTGATCGATTTTTTTTTAAATATTTATAATTATATGTAAAAAGAGTCACTAAAATAATAAATAAATGTACTGCTAAATACACGGTTGCGAATAAAAACTAGTTAGTAAAATTTAATATTTTTTTTTTTATTTAACTTAGAATGGCAAACAAGCTGACGGCCCACCTGATGGAAAGTGGTAACCGTCGTCTATAGACATGAGCAGTACCATGGACATAACAGAGTATACTGTTTCGCCCATGATATCCCCCATGCGTTGCCATTCCTGAGGACTCAGGTGTTATTCCTCTGTACCCAGTAAATTCACGTCATATCCCACCCTTCAAACCGAAACACAGCCATGCAAACACAACTACTTCACGGTAGAAACACAAATGGGACAGAGGTACCAAAGCAATCGACTTTTGTACAAAGTCTCCTTCTGGTGAAGGGATTCTTCTGTAATTTTGGATTTTTTATCATTTCAGCCATTATCCGTCCACTGCTGGACATAAGTCTCCCCCATAGACCGCCATAAAGAACGGTTCTGAGCCACCTGTATCCACTGAATCACAGCAATGCATTTGGGGTCGTCACTCCATCTAGTGGGGGGGGGTCGTCCTACACTGCGTTTGCTCGTACGAGGTCGCACTCAAGAACCTTTCTTCCCCATCGGTTGTCGGTTCTTCGAGCTATGTGATCAGCTCAATGCCACTTCAGTTTACTTATCCTTCGGGCTATGTCGGGTATTTTGGATCTTTTGCGGATATTTTTTATTAATGGGAGAAAATGGAATGGTCTCGCCGCCTGTGCTATCGGTATACACTGGCGTGACACTAATGAGAGATGATACGTGATGTTGAATGCAAATCAGTTGATCCACCATGACGAATTCGAGGAGAATTAACGCTACGATGGTTTCCAGGGGAAACCGTGTGGAGGTCGACCTGATTTA